ATACAGTGACTCAGTATATTCTTTCCATCTTCTTTTAATATTTCCTGGATCATTTAACATTCTGCCGAAAGCATCCTTGTGTGATAGTACCAAAAAATTAATCATAATATATTATTGTGATTATTCTTGTGTATTCTCAAATCAAAACCAACTTGTATCTGACCCTTCAGCAGCTTTTCAGAGGCAATAAATCATATGGGAAGATAGCCTGTCTTTCTCCTATGGAGCAGCTGATGGATTCAAACCATGTGCCTTTGGATTGTCAGTGTAACACTTAATCACTAAGCCACCAAAGAACATAGTGGATGGGGAAAGAATACTGTATCAGAATCTAAAGCCCCAGTTCCATCTTTCAGGTGTACTTATTTGATCTCTCTAGAACTATTTTCCTCAGTAATTAAGAAGGCTGACCCAAATAAATTGTCCAAATCAATTCGTGCATTGCCGTTATCTCGAGAGCTCTATTGAATGGCCTTACCTCCACTTGAAGGTCACCTTAGAAAAGGTGCCTACTACCTGTGTTCATATAGCATGCAAATTAATAAGGGCGTTTAAATTTTTTTTCATGCTTAAGAAAAAATACTGTTTTATTACTCACAAAAGTTATGGTTGATGATATTTAAAATATGGACATTTAAACTTCTCTCTTTAAAGACAGACTTATTTGTATACATTTTCTATGGCTGTTTTCATAATAGTGCAACAGCGTTAAGCAGTGACAACTACTGTGTCACTACAAAGACTACAATATTTACTTTTATAGAAAAAATTTGCCAGCCTCTGCTGTAGACTACCTTTACGGGCCTGGAATCTAAGAACCCAGAAAGCAATTTATTTCTATCACTATGGACCAGTCCTTGGAACCAGAGGACTAGATCAACCAAACCAAAGCAGTTGCCATTGACTTTACTTGTGACATACCAACTTTAGAAGGCAGAACAGAACTGCCCCATAGATTTTCCAAGGCTGAATTTCTTTTAGAGATTTAAAGGCATTCTGGTGGCATACTCTGTAGTATATTGCACAGTTAGCCAAAAGGCTGCATGTGCCCAGAAGTTCAAATCTCCCAGTGACTCCAAGAAAGATGGACCGTTTTCTCCCATCAAAATGCATAGCCTTAGAAACCTGATGGAGAATAATGAGTTGGAATCAATGCCATATACACAAATGTGAATAATTTCTACAGAAACAGATTCCTGTTCTCCCATGGAACACCTGGTGGCTTCCAATCACTGATCTTTCATTTACTAGCCAAGCATTAACCAAAGTTTCTTGAGAGCTGTATTAGTGCTTCACAAACGTTAATACGCCTGTTGATCACTTCAAGACTTTGTTAAAGTATAGATTTTTAAGCTTCGTAAGTCTAGAAGTTGTATTTAAACTTTCACATGTGATGCTAGTGTTGCTGCTTTTAGGATCACACTGTTGAATAGCAAAGGGTTTGGTGATATTTAAGACCTTCAGCCTCTATGATTCCATCTGGATTCCAAGAAATTCTGGATCTTCCATTAGTAAGCTTAGGTCTTCAAGGTTTTACACTCTTTGTTATGATACGTTTGTCCTTTATGTTTTCATGATAGAAATAATTTTAATAAACATATAATAATGTCTCTGTGTTTTAATGGTCATTTATCACCTTCTAAGTTACATTATTCTCTTTGCATTAGATCAACCTCAAAACGTGTAATACCTCCTCCTCTACCTCCTAAGGTGAGCTACTTAAGGATTTAGCATTTTTCCAAATAGTCTTACTAAATTTGTTTCAATTTCTCTTAAATTTATTTTAGATTAATTATAGTTATGTTCTCTTGAGGAGTACAAAGATCTGAATTTATTAAAGTACTTTTTTGTCCTATCATCAATAGCCAAGAATAAACAGTTACCCTGAAGACAACCTTCCAGATGAAGAAAAGTCATTGACAATAAAATATTGCCCTGATTCAGAGAACAGAGCTCCGCAACTTCTCAGAAGACAGAGTAGTCCCAGTTGTGGTTCCTCAGTAGAGACTTCCTCTATTGGTATGGCTAGCAGTGTTCGCAGCCCTGGAGTGCATACAGCTAGATACTGTGACTTGGGTAAATAAAATGAAATGAATGTTAAAAAAGAAAGACCGTTTGTTCCGATTTAAGAAATGCCTTTTTTAAGGTCATTCTTACTATTGTTCCAATCTTTGTGATTTTTTTAAAATTCCATGTGAATGGGTTTTAGTAGATTGCATCTAATTCAACTGTGATTTGATGCTTTACTAAAAATTTTCAAAAGATGATATTATGGTCTCCAGAACTTCAGGTATGACTATATTGAAATACACATAATACTAGACAGGACATCTTGTTTCCTACAGTAATTAACTATTTGTAACAGAAAACTGCACGTTTCTGAAGGAGGTGGCATAGAGACCAAAGGAGATGGACTTCTAGCAGCATTTAAAGGGCTTAGGCAGCCTTCAGTGGATGGGACCACTCTGGAAGGCATTATCTGAGAACAGGACAGAATGAGCACTGCACTAAAGCAAAAAGATCTAAGCTGTGCTTGAAGTGTTATTTAATATAGTGAACTATGATCTTTGGAAGGGTATACTGATAGTCAGAACTAAAGAGGCAAATTAAAGTTCAGCAGCTATCAGCAACAGTAGATCATCTTTCCTTTTTTTCCCCCATTATAAGACGACATTTATTCTTTACATGAATTGAGACCACTGCTAAAAATGCAGTACTACCTTTACAAAGGAAGTAGTCCATAGAGAGTTGTGCTGCTCACGCAAAGGACATACCTCTTTAGTGGTTCAAATCCTTTAAAAGCAAGCAAGAGGGCAGTCTCCTCCCATTCAGTTTACCATGTTGGAAAACAACTGGTCAACTGTGAGTCAGTTCTGACTTGAAATCAATGAAGTGGATTTTGGTGGGGTTTTTTAATTTCCTACAAAAGCGGAAGAAAGGTTTCAAATATAAATTAACACATCTGAGGATATGTCTAATAAAAGAACACCCAGAAAATAAGTAATAAGGGAAAGGGATTTTTTTCAAAGAAAAAAAAAATGACACTTTTGTGTAGTCATTTAACTTTTCAATATGATTTTCTTTAGGAAATGGCGATGGTATTTCAAAACTGATGAGTGAAAATACAGAAGGATCAGCACAAGCACCACAGTTACCACGAAAAAAAGACAAGCGAGACTTCCCTGTAGGTATCAAAGGGATTAGTTAGAGCTAACAGTTAACAGCTAATGCTGTATTCATCATTTAAGCAGAATAACCTATTAAATAATTAGAATATTGAATTTCAAAATTTGTATGTATTTTTAAGGTTTAGGTCTTAAAATATTAATTCTTTTTCTTATAGAAACCAGCCATCAATGGCCTTCCACCCACCCCAAAAGTACTGGTAAGACATGTTTTTATGTGAACCATTGCCTTTTTCTCTTCTGAAAGGCATCTTAAGTTTATGTTTTATTTGTATAAGGAGCAAAGATAGTGTAAGGACAGCCACATCTGACCTTTCCTGACACCACAAAGGGGCACTGTCTGCATCAATAACATCCACAAAACTGCCTCCTACAAGGTCAGACATAGTCCTCTACACGCCTACACCTACTTCCACTAATTCCAAATTCCGTTTTTTATTGCTCTACTGGATCAGAAATCCATTGCAATAGCTACACAAACAAGATAGAAATATGTTCATGATTATAGGGTTTATTAGGGCTCTGGTCTTGGCTCTATTTCTTGAGCATACTAGAGAGTCAGCACTGAGCTTCTGTGACCTTATATAGACCTCAAGTAGGGTAGGGTTTGTATCCCACTCTCATCTCTTTATACAATAAATACTTCATCACTAAAAAAAGTTAATCAATGGCTAAGAAAGCCATTTTGAACAATAAACCCTTGACACTGTACAGTTAAACCATTGAAAGGAAAGATCTCATAAAACAGTAGACTAGGTTAATATTTAAAGCTTTAAACTTAGATGTACAGTGGGCAGGTCTTGCATGCTATTGGAGTACACTGTTTAAAACATAGAGTGTTTTACTTTTTTAAATAATGGCAGTAGTGTTCTCATATAAGCCAACAAAGTCCAGTTTGATTTTAAGATGATGATAATATCATTATGCCATCTTCATTATATGAGTTAAATGTCTTTCTACCCATGAAGCTATTTCTACATTTTTCAACACACAAGTGAAAAGGAGTAGGGAAACATTTAGTAATGCTTGTTTTCATGTGTTTGAAGGCTGCTTGTCCATACAGTGTTTAAAATAATCGTGTGAATGGAATACTTTATAAATGCTATTTTTTTAATAGAGTAAGTCTAATTACTATAAGGAAGTTCGGGTCATGTAGTTTGTAAAGAGTTGTGCTGCCATCCAAAGGCCACACAGAAGAAAGAAGGACAGTTTACTTTCTGTGCTCTTAATAGCCTTGGGAACCCAATGAAGAGTCAGCTGGGAGAGAGAGAAGTCTAATACATATAATTATTAGTAGTTTTCTCTGTTATTGCTGTTATGGTGTTATATAACAATTATAATCACTATGTTATTGGCAGGAACTCTGGTAGCCTAGTGAATAAAGGAGTTGTGTCACCAATCCAAAGAAAGGCAGTTCTTACCATGAGATTTATACCCTCTGAAAAACTTACTAGTGTCAGCTGTGAGTCATTTATTACTCAACCACATTATGAAAGAGATTATTGAATAAAATCATCCATTGGTTCACATTAACATATATTAGTCTTACATTAACATATGTTACTCTTAATGAAAGGAAGTAATTTAACAGTCCTAAGATGTAACATACTTTGGGCATGTTGCAAGGA